CCACGCTGTCCAAAATAACTACAAGAGACGTGGTATAATAATAAACTTACTTACATTAAAAGGGTTGAGACCAAGGTAAAAAGCAGCTCTGTACAAAGAGGGTGGTGGGGGAGGCTTTAAAGACGGAAAAAAGAAAAAATTAAAAAGAAAAATAGCAAGGCTGCCATTGCGTGCTTACAATAAGGGTATACATATATAATTATATATATATATAACCGAAATTCGAACCATAAAAAATATCATCAACTCCGCTACACGTCCAAAATTGGATAATACTATTGTTTGCCACATCTACTTTAGATTTCCTAGAACAAACTCGCCATCTGCGAGAGGTGACTCATCCCTCACAATCAGTTGACATTTCACCAAATGCAATTGGCTGTACAGGCACTGTCCCTCTGTCGCCAGCACAAAATAAAAAAACCTGACATTACAACAGAAGAAAACCAAATTCCATTATCATCTGCCACTAGTCAATCATCATACATAAAACAAGATTAAAAGTAAAAAGATAATATAAAGAACAAATAGAGATACCCCTACACTACTTGGAAGTTGGAACGTGATAGCAATGCAATAGTTTAGCTGTTCTCAGCAGAGGATGCTGATGGATGTGAAACACATTTTGCCTCTTTCATCTCTGATCCTTCCGCAGCCACCACCATGTTCTCCTCACTTTTTAGACTCAAAGTTCCTGGGTTCATCTTCTGCACCTCTTCTCGGGTGTAGATAAAGATTTTGCGAACCATGCCACAAAATTCCCTGGGTTGTAAAACAAGAGCCTAACTGTTACTGAACATTTCTTTTTTTAATGGAAAAAGAAAAGAAAATTGTTACTCAAAATTCTTGTCTTCAGAAGTCTTAAACAACTAGGCAAATAGCTACAACTAAATCAAAACAGGACTAATCCTTACTGCCAAGGATCATCGCCAACAAGCATCATATCACCCTCATCATCAGTGTATACAATCAACCAATTCTTCTTTGGAGCCATCAACTCGCCACCAAATTCAAACAACTGATCTAATTCAGCAATTAACGCATCATAGTTGCTGAACTTGGTTAGATCAACAGATCGTCCAAGGGCTATCCCCTGCTTGTGAACCTGAAATAAATATCTTTTGATCAACAAGCCCTTCTAAATTTCTAATATAGCCTCAACATAAATAGGTAAGATATTAACCTTGGTACAACTCCTTGTTGATCCACTATGAGCTTTGTTTTGAACATCCCGTGTATGAGGCTGAAAAATTTGGGATGGTTTCTCCTGCTCACTTACAGTGTGGCGATCATAGGCCAACTTAGGGCCCTTTGAATGCTCTGACTTTTGATCAAGCTCAAATGCGTGAGCTTGCAGTGATGAGATCCGCGGATGACCCATTGGCTCATTCATAATGCTTCTATGGGACACCAATGGCTCTGCCCTTGCTGAGTTGCGAACAAGGGGAATCCCAAAGAGCTTGCAGTTACCATCTTTGGGTTTTCCAGTCTCTAGTTCTTGTGCCATCACTGACTTTGCCACTGGCTCCCTTGAATGAGTTATGTTCTCAAAACGAGACGGTGGTGGAGGTGGCATCATCCAGCTTCCATGGGAATGCTCCACTCTGTGACCATGAAGCATGGGATATTCACCATATCCTCCATGTCTAATGTTTCCTCGTGATGGGTAAGATGCATCAACACCTTGCTTGGGAACATTAGAACTTGATTCAGCCAACTTAAGAGAGAGACCAGAAGACATTAGGGACCACGGACTTGGAAGCAAGTTAAACTTTCCCTCCTGATCAAGTAAATGTTTCTTAATTGGATTCATAGTTGCCACAGCTTGATCAGCGAATGATGAGCAGTGACCGTGGGTGAGGTCAGCATTGGCTCCAAATCCAGATAGTAAATCTGTATAAGTTGGTTCATGCCTTCCTGTAGGCATCCAACTCTCTGAACCATATCGTCTTGAAGCAGAAACTACGTCAACCTTGTCATCATCTATTGAAGGTTGCCATACAACAGACTTCTCAGCAGTATCAGATTCATTACTCTCTGCAAAATTGCCCTTCAAGGTCGAGAATTCTTGACCTTGCAAGACCCTCGAATAACCACTTGCTGGCGAAGGGTCTACAGTTACCTTAGATGAACCTAAATTACAGGGAAAGAAATAAAGAAAATTCTTAATATCTTTTGGCTTATCCAAATCATTATAACATCAAAATTACATGCTAAACTAATTTTGAGCCATGATGCAAAAGTACCTTCCCGAGTGAGCACAGATGAGTCAGGTGATGAAGGCAGCATGTTTGGTCTAGGCCTTTTGGACCTGGGCATGGGAAGGGGATTCAATGCCGGAGGAGCCAGGGCAGGCTCTATTTTCCAAGGGGAAACT